TTAGGCCCGTGACTAAATATTCTATGTCGCTGGTGTTGTGGATAGATTTCCTAAATTTTGTTGTGTTACTTCTGGGTGACCATCATAAAACAATATTATAAACTCCATGTCCTGATTCTAATTGTTCTCTGCACAACCCCTGACTACAACAGAGGTTTTTGTGGTCTAGCCTCAACCACACTGGTCTATAAGAAAATCTATATAGGTTCTATACTGATTCGAATGAGCTCTTGTGTTAGTATTGAAATTTACTGAGCATTGGACATTTAGTGGGAGTTTGAGTGGTAGAAAAAAAAATAGCATCACTTATAATATGACTTCTCAATTGTCACTGTCACAGTCTCCTGCCCAATATAGTAAAGAAGTATATGAAGACATGCCGTAATGCTTTCACATAATGTTTGCTATCTTTCCATTGGGTAACCCTCCGCAGTTATGTTTACTCTATTTTGGATAATACCTTTTAAAGACATCCCTTGTATGCTGGTCTTTCTCAGAAGTTATATAGTCCTAGGTATCAAGAATGCTAAAAATGTTCAGGTCCTCATCCAGGAAGCTCACCCTTAGGAAAAAACCTCAGAGATAAAATATTTTATGTAAAAAATTAGAAAGACCTAACAATCCTACAGTAGTAAGATAAATTATGCTAAAATCTTAAGATAAGATATTATTCAGCTATTTTAATCTATGCAACCCAAGATATTATTCAGCTACTAATTTATGCTATACTTTCTAACTCTCTTGGAGAAATGCCTATGGTAAGTACAAGGAGAACTAATACAGGGAAACTGGCAGATGACTAAAAATCTGCACACAAGGTTGGGGAGATGTACCTCCCCAGACCCGAGCTTTCTGAATTTCTTTTCTAAGTGCTGAGCTGGATAATTTAGATTGGTAGCTATTTGAATTTGTAGACACTGACTCCAACTAGGGTTACTGGGATAAACAGCGTTGCAATTCAGTCAGCTAAGATTGCTGTGGCTCTACCAAGTGCTGACATCTGCAATACTGCCTTTCTGAACTGGTTGGCGAATGCAAATTGTTGATGTCCTGGACCCTGGAGTTTTCCCTGCTTTGGCTTTCTGGGCCTGTTTCTTGGGGTGCCTGATTTTGAATGTCTTGTGTATTGAGCAACTAAAGTGACTGACACAGTCACTTCTGCTCCTGCTCTGTGACCTTCATGTGATCTGATTGGTGCTTGTGTTATAAGATGCTTACCTGCATATTTATCACCACACATGTACACATACACACACACACGTACACACATGTATGTACACACATACATTCTTTGTGGACAAACTTCTTCCCTTCTCTCAAATTCTTTCTATGATTTTAACTCCAAACAACAGCAACAAAACAAAACTTCATATTTTATTTTGAATTACTATTTATTTCATTTTCATGTTTATTTTCTCATTATAAAGGCATACAAATAGGGAAAGGATTCCATGCCAAGACAAATGTAAGTGGAACACGCACTTTACTCTGTTCAATTTTCAGCATGCTCTTAGCTACTCTCATCTTTATGTTAAAAGAATGTGACGTAAACTCTTCATATCTCTATTTAGGTATGAAAAACCATACCTGTTTTTCATTCTTGCTGATCTCCAATTTCTCCCAAATTGATTAATTTTATATAAAAGTTTGGTTTGAGAATAATTATAGATGCAGCTTACGGATCACTTTGCATTTAGCACCACAGTAAACTGACACAGCAGATACTATTCTTCAGAGCATGAAATTGAGATGTGGAATGGGATTGGTTCTCTGAAAGCACATATTATTATCTGTGAGGAAAAGAGTTGCAGAAGCAGGACTGAGTAGAGGAACAAACTAAATTATGAGGCAGGCCTCTAGTCTTAGCCAACTCAGGTGAGAGCCCTGAACCAAATACTGCCCATCTGCATTCTGTGTCAGGTCAACGTCGCCAGCTCTTTATTTTAGTTCTTTGCTCCTTCTCTGGATAAGGCTATCATGGGAAACTAGGTGAATCTTAATTGATGAGACCTTGAAGGAAGTAATACCAGGAGCTGACTGCTTGGCAGCACTTTCCATAGTGAAGAGCAAATTTGTCCTTGAAGAGGATCTGTGTGGTGCATCTCTGTTTCTGAGAGTTTCTGTGAACTCTCAATATTTTCAAAATCTATGGAAACTGTTTAACTACTGAGTATCAAGGATTTGATACTGAATCTTTTGTAGCTTGAAAGTTCACACCCTCCTTAACTCATAATTGATCTCCAAATATGTATTCAAGTCACTCTATCAAAAGCATTTTTACAGTTTTTTGAAAACAAGGATGTTCCAATCCTGTGGATTCAGAGAACCTCTGAGAGATTCTGATTCAATTGATATAGGTGGTATCCAGAAATCCTACCTATTTTGTAAAAAGTGTCCAGGCTGATTCTAAAGTATAGTCATATATTAAAAAGTATTGCTAATTATGACATTAATGAGGGAAAGCTATCAAATGAAAGAGTGGCAAGGTTTCTGATACTGAACTGTATGTCTAGTCCAAGCTATGATATATGGGATGTTTAAAAAAATCAGAACCGAGACTCATCTCTCTGAGTTTGATATTGTCTAACATTACCGGCAATACGTTGTCTTGTTTTACGGTTGCAGGTCACCTTAGGAGAGAATCTTGCAGAAAGCACAACTACTTCAAGGTTCATGAAAGTAACTGAACTTGTAAATGAACTGAACAATTTGCCTTCCAAGCAGCTCCTGAGATGTTTGTAAAGAAAGTTTGAAAGTATCAGTTTCTATTTTTGTTTTTTGTCTTTCAACATAAAACAGGCCATGGGTTTCTGTTCTAAAAATTGTTTTTAATACATAATGGAACCACTTCTAAGACTGAAATTAACTCTTTAAATTATCTCATTTAAAATGAAAATTACAATTTTATGACCAAATGTGACATGATTCTGATGGGGTAGGTGTCCTGATGGAAGCTTAATTACTAGGCAAGGTATAAACATAAAGCAAGGTTGTTACCGGAGCTAACAAGGATTGTTACTTGTTGGAAGATAATAAACTTCTGAGTCTGGCTTCTTTCAGTTATTTATCCCCCTCCTTGTCTTCTTCTCCTCCTGTTTCTCTTTTCTCCTCCTCTTTCTTCTCTTCCTCTTCTTTCTTTTCTTTCTTCCCCTTCTGCTTCTCCTTCTTTTTCTTCCTCCTCCTCCCCTTTCCGTTGTGTGTCTCCTTCTTGTTGGCAGTTGAGCTCAGGGCCTTTACAATAAACTAAAACCTCACCCATTTTATTTTATTATATTTTAGTTTTTTATTTTATTGGTTGGGCTTTAGCCTGCAATCCTCCGGCCTCAGCCCCAGAGTGTTAGGATTACAGGCATGCCCTCCAGGCCAAGCTTCTTTCAATTTTTCTTTAGTAGAATAAAGATAGAACTCAGATTTGAAGACAGGATTTCACTGAGTAAGGCTTTCAGGACCAACTGTGGAGAGAACAAGAGCCAGGCATGCTGATAAAAATACCAAAATATTTTATAGATCTTTTTAAAATGCACTAGATTGTTACATAAGGTTTTTCTAAATTTTATCTAATTCATACACACTCTTCTATATGGAAAAGAATCCTAGTCAGGTATGGTGACGTATGCCTGTAACTCAGCACTAGTAGTGTTTAGGCAGGAGACCCAAGTTTCAGCCCAGCTTTAGAGACTTAGCAAGATGCTATCTCAAAGCAAAGCAAAACAATTTTAAAAAGGGTTGAGGATGTAGCTCAGTGCAAAGTCTCTGTGTTCAATTCACAGAACTGCAAAATAAAACAGTAAAAATCAAAACAAAACAAGAAAAGCCGACTTTACAATAGTTAACCTGAAAGATTTTAAACTGAGATAAGTAGTTAATATGACTCCTTTCTGACTTGGGATGATAGCTTGACCTCTAGTGCCTTTTGAAAGGGATAATGGATCCAGCTTCAGCTGCTCCTAGAAGGTTACACTCCTTTGTGCACATGGGAAAATGAAAGAATTGTATATAAATATATATATATATTTCACAAACATGTCCTAGAATGTTTACTTGATTGGTAATGGAAGTTCTAAGAGGCTGTGTATAGTTACTCTATATTACCCTATGAATGGCTAAATATAGATATTCAACAATAAAAGTTGATGACAAGAAGTTACAATACTGAGGTTTTTAAAATTAAGAATGGTGACATCCATTTTTGTATCTCCAACCATTTGAGTCAATGTATATGCAGTGACTGGTTTTTGGCTTATATACCATAAACCATTGAAGTTTGGCCTTGAAATTATAATCCCAGACTCTGAGACAAAGACTTACAAAAGCTAAATGTGCAAGAGCCACTTAAATAAATGTCTAATTTGGAATCTCAAATGGTAGTGCATTTGATTACCTCCTGTGATTATAAGCTAAGCTCATTATTAAAAGTGGCTTTGGTGAACCTGGCAACCCTGAAGTACCTCCTTTTTTTCCTTTCCTGTTTCTATTCTACTTCATCCAGCTGGTAACTACATGAAGTGTTGAAAATCTAAGTTTCCTTTAATTGATAGTCAAGATCGCATTTTGGTCAGGACTTTAACATTCAGAAAGAACATACAGGTAATGCGAACAATGATCTTGTTCCATTGATGTGTATGTACCGATTAATACAGCACTCTTTCCCTTTTCTGTTGAGGAAACACATCCTGTCACTCATTTTCTCCATAACCTCAGGTAGCTCTTCATTGCTTTCATGATGATAACTGTTCTCATCTTACTGTGACATGATGTTTTGGGGGGGAAAAAGTCTCAACTCACATTAAAAAGTTTCATAATCACAAGCTATGTAAAGGAGGGGAATGTATATTGATTAACCATAGGTACTTTTACCATGAATTTCCTGACCTTGATTTGATTAAAATCTCAACCTAAAGATTGCAACAATCTAGATTTCTTTAAAGTTTACTTGTTCACTTCACTTTGAAGAAAACCTCAAGGAGGGGCCAGAAGGTGGCAGAACGGAAGGAGAACTTAAGGACTGCGCTGCTTTGCAGATGAGTGTTTGAAAGTGAACAGCCAATTTAACAAGAAGCAAAACCACAGAACAGTCAACTCACATTTCTTAACGAAATCAGTCAGTCTCTGCCTACTATCCTCTCCCACCATCTGTGTTCTTTTTATTTATTTCTCAGATGCTGCTACAGTAGATAACCTGATCAATCTCCGAAGAACTCAGGAGGAAGGGAAGCCTTGTGCTTGAGCAACTTTTTCTACAATCGATATGTAAAGGGGATGAAGACATTGCCTGCCATGCTTGGAACTAGGAAACTGTTTTGTGTCTTCTTCCTGATCCTATATCTGGGCCTCCAGAGCATCCATGGTAAGGCTCCTAGTTGCATTATTTCTGGTTTTATTTCTTAAGAGATTATGGAGGAAATGTTTTCTTTTGCTGAATTTAGCAGGATGGGATGTTTACGCCAAAGTAATAGTAGATGAGCTCAAGTTGTTAGATTTGCTCTGTGAAGCTTATGAGACATAAGCTACATAACATGCACATCAATCTGCTTAAATAGTAGATGGTGAATTCACGGGTTGACCAATTTTTCTAAAAATATGTGCTGAAAGCAAGAAATGAGAAGTGAGCAAATAGTTAAGTATAAATTCATGATTACCAAAAACTACCTGGGTGCCATAGGCTGCTGAATAAATAAAATCTTCTTTCCGAACTTATTCTAACAAACTGTTGTAGTGCTCATTGGATGGGACAGACCTTGAGATAATGGGAATTGTATCTATCTCCATGATAGATACATTGAGTAATGTTATCTCTAAGTAAACTCTGCATACTTGCTTTAGTGAGATATTTGCCACGAGACATTTGAGTGAGAAAAAAGCTGAGAAACATCAGAGCAAAGCATTCCATAATGCTTCTATTTTGATGAAAGGAAATATTTCCTCCGTGGCTGCCAATAGAGTATAGACAATGACTTGGGTTCTATAAAGATGACATTTGATTATCGCCGTATGTAGGCAAAAAAAGGCAGTTTGTCTTATGATATTGAAGTCTCTTGCTCCCTTACATTGACACGTATAAGGAGCAATTTGTTAAATTGTTTTGACATATGGTTAATATTTAAATATTTTAAAATGCAGCAGAACACATGATGTTATTAATCCCACTGACTTCAGGTACACTTTCCCATCATTCTTGACTCTTTCTGAAAGTCCTCTCTTGTGAGTATTTGATCAGTTGATACTGAGTGCCATCCTGCAGAAAGGCAGGCTCATGAAAGCATGGATTGCATCCTCATTCACCTTATTCCCAGGACTGGGCCTGTGGGACTACTGGTATTTTCTAAAATCAAAATGATCTTGAAAGGTAAAGATTTTGAATCAACTCAGGATGTTCAAGAAATCAAGGCAGCCATGTCAGCATAACTAAAGACATTCATAAAAGAGAACTTGAGAACTGCTTCAGAAAGTTAGAAGAATGACATGATACTTATATTTGAAGTGAGAGGAAGTATTTTGAGGGAGATTAATGGCAATGTGTCTTACTGTAACAAATTTTTAAAATTTAAACAGTATATTTTTCAATCACATCTCATACATTGTAAAGCGATGATAATTAAAATTTCTGATTCCTTAGTAGTTCTAGTTTTAAACATATTCTTTTATTATCATCCACAAGCACATATTTATGGGTTTTTTCTTTAAATTAGGATATATGATCACTTAGGTCTTACAGAACATCATCTTGAATTCTAGAATTCTGTAGTTTGGGATTTGCATCTGTGATTTCAGAATATCATGCAACCAGGTGCAAAATAATATCTCATGAATCATCCAAACATATTTATATTTATATGTGTTACAATTGTAGTCATATCTTTCAACAGAAAGCATACTAATTTAGAAGATCTACTATAGACCATTCTTTGTGAAACGAAGGAGAATAATGTCAGTGCTATACCACAATTGGAGTACGGTACAACTTCCATTTTTCCTCTCAATGTGCTTCAACCTAGTGCTTGTAAAATAGATGTGGGTATTAGAATTGAGTTCAGTCACTGGCCCTGCCATTTACTGTGTGATCGTGGTTAAGTTTATTATCTTCTTTTATGTTTACTTCCCTCATTTTAAAAATGGAATGAATAATTTTACTTAAGTTATGTGCTTATGGTGATGACTATAAATGAAATAATATAGGTAAAATTCCTAGCACTCTAAGTGTGCACTTCAAAGCTGGGTAAATGTTAATGACATTATTGCAGATGGTATTTTCACCAAGTGAGAAGTAAGGATTAACATTATAATTTATGATAATTTAGTTTTAAACTTTTTATTTCATCTTATTTTTATTTTTTATAGTGAGAACACTTCAAATCTGTTCTTTTAATACTTTCAAATAAATATATTAATTATAGTCACCATATGATGTAAAAATAGATGAATGAAACTTATTCCTTTCAACACAGTTTGTCTGTTGTGATGAACTTTTCTCTAAAAGAGAAAAGTTTCTTGAGTTTTTAAAGTAAAAATGAATAAGTAAAATATATTGTACAATATGTTCAGACGAAAATATAAAGAATCAAAGTATTTGGAAAATGAGGGGGAAAGACTTGGACTGAATATTGACCAGGTACCTTTTGTGGCAGTTGTTATGATTGTAGCATTACTCATCCGAAACAAAAAATAGAGTAAGACAGATTGAGAACATTAAATGAGGGCTGGCAATATAGCTCAGAGAGAGTGATTGACAGCATATCTAATAGCCCGAGTTTGACCCCCAGCACTGCAAAAAGTAAACACACAAAAACCAACCAAAAAATTAAAAAAAAATTAAGCCAATGAACATTTGCTGACATTTGTCTTTCCAGACAGACCTGATGGCTCCATTCCCAAAACCAAATTAATTATAATATTTATATCTTGGGAATTTCCTGTAATTTACATTAATTACTTAATTCTTTACAGTGGTACTTTTTCAAACTGTTTAAAGTTCATTTTAGAATATTTTCCTCCTACTTCAAAGTAGTGTGAGAGATTCATGCTTTTCCCCCTCTTAAGACAAACTGTATTTGTAATGAGGTTGGGGAAAATTGTAACGTTGCCTACAGATTTGAGCTTGCTTGTTTTTTTGAGAGGGAGAGAGAGGTATAAATGTCTGGTGCATCACTTCTGTGTTTATGAAAGTGATAAGGATATCAAAACTTTCTCCTCATAGACTGAAGTCCTAACCTGCAGGTAGATATGGACTCTTCTCTGAGGCCCCACAGATGCAATTCCCTGTACTGCTTGGATTCTAGATCCAGGCAGGCAGGAATGCTGCAGGTAATACCGGAAGCTGGTTGGCAGTATATCTGATCTGGAATAAAAGAAGTAGGAAATCTTTGATTGATCACGTGTTAGTGTGATAAAAAAAATAATGCTAACCTAGTCTAGTAAGCGAAGAATACTTATACTCTGGCTCCTTTGAGAATGCATTAGTTAGGGCCACGCCTATATCTGAGTCTTGCTCATGTCCATTTTTTAAGTTACTATGGTGGTTCAGCATGATGCATGGATCCATTTTTAAAGGCCATACTCCGCATTCCGCAGAGATTATACTGTTCTCCACAAACTGGTTATAACACTGGGCCAGAGCAGACAACTTTGGGCAGATTGAGCTTTGTGTCTATTATTCCTTGAAGATCAGGTTTTAAAACAACACGTGCTTATCAGGCTTACTTTTATGGCTCTATTTATTTGTTGCTGTTGAGACATGTACATGAAATGCTAGAGATAGAGCTGTGCCTTCTACCAAATGCCAAATACCGGTGTGCTAGTATCATACCCAAGTCTGCCATTTAGGCAAATGTCTGAGAGCATTCTGCAACTTCAGGATTTCCTGGATTAAGGCATAAACCGATGAACTCTTATGCTAATTACAGCCTTGAATCAACCTCTCAGCACTAAAGAGCTCTTAAATCTACGTTTGCTTCCTTCATTCTCTTATAAAAATTTCCTGTATTGTAAGGTTAAAGTCAAAAGCTATTATCTTGCCTCCCTGGGACTTTCTTACCTAATTTCCATTATTGTGAGTTTTGCCTTTCTAATAGAGTTCAGAATTGTTGGAAGAAAAATGTTCATTAATGAAGCAGGTACAAAAAGTGAAATTAACTTGTTTAATTTCTTGGAGAAGAAAGATTGAATCTCTAGAGGCCACTGCCTGGATCAGTATCTTATGTCTGCCATTTACTAATTCTATGATTATAAGCTCTCGGGTGCTCAATTCTTTACCTAAAACTTGTGACAATTATGTTGACTTCAGAAAGTTGTGAATATTAAGTGAGTTGAACACTGTGAAACCCTTAGAACAGTGCCTGATACACTGTAAACATGGTGTAGTTGATATAACAATGACTTTTCTTTTATTACAAAATGAATTAGCTTAATAGAATCCTTAACACGGCATGGTGCTGTGTGAGGTGCACACATCTACAATCCTGACACTCTGGGAGGTTGAGGCAGGAGGATTGCAAGTGTGAGCCCAGTTTGGGCAACTGAGTGACTTAGTGAGGCCCTGTCTCAATATAAAAGACAAAAAAGGACCTGGGGATGTAGCTCAGTAGGAAGGCCCTGGGTTAAATCCCCAGTACTAAAAAAAAAAAATTGTATTGAGAGATGATCTTTCATTTGATGTTGACAAGACTTTTATAAATAACTCTGGGTATTATTACCTCTACCACAACCGTCGCCAAGGCATGATATTATCTAGGTAGATAATTTCTAATGACATTTGAGAGTTAAACATCTTGGTTTACATTGTATCAATGAATTATGTGTACTTTTCTAATAGTCTCAATTTTTTTGTCTTGAGATTATTTCAATACTGCGTTTCCTTCCAGTATATTTTATGCTTGTGATTCACATGTTTATGTATCTGGAAGAACTGGCTTGTGTGTCTGTGTGGAAGCGTGGCGAGGCGTAGATTTAGCTAAGTTCAGAATCTGATCATTTGCTAGCATTCATTTGGAGCAAAGTGCAGGGAAATATTTGAGAGACTGCCTGGGCCATTAGAGGACAGCATCAGGTTCAGCAGCAGATTCTTCTAACTCCTCTTTTCTTCCTCACTGTCAGCTGTGTTATGAGCAAAGCTGGGCCCTGCCCACATTCCAAGGAGCACACTCTTCAGAAGTTGGCTTCAGAGGAGGCTGGAGCATTCAGGTTTTAGCTGGGTCATGGCTACCTTGCATCTTTCTCTACAATATAAGAATAGGAAAATGAATGTTGGAGAACAACTGGCAGTTTTTACCCACATAGGTGTGGCTAAGTATTTCTTTGAAAATGCCAGTGAATCTCTGTGGCCAAGTGTATCAGGGATGGGAAGAAATATCCAGGAAGGAAGTGGAGGTGGACTTTCCCTATGCTTTTCCCTGCATAACATTTGATCTACTCTTATTCTGAGCATCACAAGTTAAACATTCTACTGATAGCAATGATTAGAAAAAACTCTTGTTGCTTTCTCATAAATTGTCAGGCTTTCATTGATACTAGCTTTTAAGGTTGGCCGTCCTGAAAGATCTATGCCCAAAGTAAAGGACAGGTTTCACTGCAGATGGAATACACTTGGGTCAGGCAATTAATGTAGTCTCTACATTGTTCTTTAGGATTTGTTAAACTGCCCAGAACTTTGGCTGCCCACTGAGAATAATCACACATTGGTCAACGAACACTGTACTGGAAACCTGCCCTTATCACATGGAAAGGGCTCACTGGAGTGGAGTTTGCAGGTGGAGACTGCAGTGTCTCTGAGATATGTGAATCCTTTTGAACTGGGGAGGCAAAGACAGTGACCAGCAGAGTAGACCATGAAGTGACATTTATCATTTGTAGATGTAAAGATGCACAGAAAGTAAGCTTGGAAATACAAGCAAAAGCAAAATTTTTTGCTTCCTAGTTTTGACCAAGTCAAGCTTTGCTGGCAGTATAATTTTGTAAGATTTCCTTTTGCATAAAAGAAGAACATCTTTATATGAGATGTGTTACTTTTGCCCATTTATTGTATATATCAGCCTTTTTATACTGTTGTTGATCCTAATGAAAGTGAGAATAACTTTTCAGAGCAGAAGCCCATGGGGAAGATCTTTGGGTTTTCACCTTCTCTGTGCCATTCATAGATTTTGTGACATTAAATATTCACTCAAAGGCTGTACTGCTTCCCTGAATTAATCCTATAAAATAATACTGACCTTTATTGTTATACAATATAAACTAAGTATAAATTTTTTTCAAATGCATTTTTACTTATAACAAACTTACAGAAAAGAGTTTATACTTTGGAGTCAAGATCAGGCCTGGCTTCTTATCCTACTCATGATTTCCTTCTCAATACTGGTGACATTGTGGAAGTATTTTTTCTAATATTCAGTTTCTTCAATTTAAAAATAAAGATAATAATGGCAGCTAGTAGCTGCCTCATAAAAGTGTATAGTCCTTGACATTCGATGGTTCAATTTATAATTTTTCAGTTTTACAATGATGTAAAAGTGATATGAGTTCAGTATAAATTATACTTCAAATTTTGAATTCTACTGTCTTCTAAGGCTAGCAATATTACGTGTGTGTTGTAGTCAGGGATTGCAAGGAGAACAAGACTGTACAGGACACATAATTTATAGTATTATTTTATAATAGTCACCCAAAGTGATAAGTGCAAGAAGTGCAGAAGATCTGTTTACAAATTAAGACCCAAAGAATCCAGCTGAGGGGCCCGGATCCCACAGCAATGTCGTGCATGAGTCCAGCTGAAAACATAGAACCCATGACAATGACTCATACAAATCTATTTCATGGATCTGTGCTGGGAAGGCCCCAAGCAGAAGCTAGTAAGTCTTCTCCAGTGGGATGAAGGATCTGTGCCAGTAGGCTGAGTGTTCTGCACTGGAGCCGGGAAGCGACACTCAAGTTAGAGCTCTTCTGAAAAGTGCCACAGTCATGCTCAGG